CTGCTTCTCTCCCACATGTTCCTCCAAGCTTCATATGCTTAACACTGATTTTTTTAGAGTCCCTATGCCGTCTGCAGGATCCTGGCTGATTCATTTGCTTCACTGCATTTGCCCTACTGGTTTATTTATCCATGTATTTTCATATATATATATACGTATATATATATATATATACATCCATGTATTTAGTCCCCTCCTTGTTCCCAAATGGATATAAGGCGGCTTACAAGAATACACAAAATACAGTATGATAGCATAAATTCAAAGTAGGTAAGAAAAGGAAAAGAAAAAAAAAAAACCAGTAACAAAGACAGAAACATAAAATGGAGCCTAGAAGAAAGCCAATACAAAGTGCATACATACCGTAGGGTCCCATTTCAAGCGCTCTGCATGGGCCACACATTGGGCTCCAAGCTCTGTAGCAGCCGAGCAACCTGATCGGTCTCACCCTTCACGGGGACCGTAAAATCAAATCAAATCACTTGTTCAGGATGTCCTTTTTCCTGCTCTACATTCTGAAAACTTTTCTATAGTGAAGTATCACCAAATGGTGGCAAAAGTTCTCTCCTGATTCGCTCTAACGCCAAGATCCAGCTCCTGGAACAGTCTCCAACAAAGATAGATCCTCAATCTGGAAATTACATCCACTGCTTCTTATTCTGTTTCTGCCTTGTCTCTTGAAGCTCCATTTGGTCAATGACATGTAGCTATTAAAAAGACTTCTTAAATGAGCAAAAACCTCTGCTTTCATTTAACTCAAGAGATAGACATTGTGACGTTATTTATAACGAAAGTTTAGAAAGGACCCCAAATAGCCAACAAAATATCCTGGTCAAACAAACCAGGATGCCACTATATGGTGAAATATTACACACCATCAGAAATGGTATTTATGAAAACTTGTTAAAAATGTAGGAAAATATTCATGATAAAACTTTTAAGTACATGTTAAGTAAAAAATTAAGATATAATAAAAAAATTCTTAAAAATTAACATAACAGAAATAAAGATATAAAAGAGCATTATTAGGATTTTAACTATGTAAAAAACTGTGTATAAGGATATATCATATATATTAATATATATAAATAATGCCACAAAAAAGTCTGGAAAGAAATCCACTAGAATGTTAATATTGTTTCTGGCATTTGTGAATATAGGCAACTTTTATCTTTTCTGTTTTAGTTTCCATTTTTTTTATATATTGATAAACAAGTTCTATATGAAATGAAGGAGGAGGACTAGGAAGAAAACCACCAACCCAGCTGGTTATTTTTAGCTTGTAAAATTATGGGCAATTTTCATTTTCTTTGAAGTTTTCTATAATCAGCGTGTAAGTTCTAGCTAGACACAAACGTACTTCAGTTAAAAAAAAAACACAAAGAGTTCTAAAAATATGATTGTTTGGTTGTTTTGTTTATAAGGTCCAGAATGATACAAATGTAATACCACCTCACTATTATGTAGCCCTTTTTAATTTTAACGCCTCTCTAATACTTAGAATTGCATTTGGCTACCAGAAGATATCTTGTGAGGTAGCCCGGGTATCACTCCCTGCACTTAACTGGTGCTGAAACTCGGTGACTAGCCCAAAGTCACAATAATCAGTGGCAGCGCCGAACTCCAACCCAGGTTCTTCGGAGCCCAAATCCAGTGCTCTTCCCATTCATTCAAGACTGATCGTGCTATAACCCAAGCAGTCACCGAGAGGCAGAAACATGGAAACAGCGACCCCTCTTTACCTATGAGGGTCAAGTTCCCGAGCAACCCCCAAGATAGTGAAGTTCAGCTGAAGAAAGTATGATTTTAGGAGGTTTCCACAAAAAAGAGGGGGGATGGGAAGTGAGGTCACATGCAAACTTTTGAAACCCCTCATGGGTAATTTTTTGCACAGTGAAGCAAAACATAACAACAGCACATTACATAAGGAGAATGACAGTTTACATAGCTTAAATTCATAAAAATGATAGGTTCTACAGTGTTTCCATGTAGATCCTAAGACGATTTCCAGAGGTGATGAGGATGTCGCGCTCATTATGGCAGGGGGACAAGGGGGGTGGCAGTGAAGTGATGAACAGGGGTGAACCGTTAGCTCAAATCGTGGATCTTCATATTCTCCCAAGTCATCGGAATCCAGTCCTGAGACTGGAACAACTTGCTCGTGCCTTTCGCCCTATCAAAGCAAGTGGTTTTAGTGGTAAAACTTCATGACAGGCTCTTCTGAAGATACCGTCTCCTCAAGTCTTTCCTGAAGATACTTTAGCACTTCTGTACAGAGTTCAAATTGAATCGCTCAAGCCTTCTCTGAAGGTGGCATACCAAGTGTCTATTGTGGGCACTTAAATGGCACTACTTGAAGATTTAGGCTCTTCTGAGGGTGCTTTCTTCCTAATATGGTAATGTAAAAAGACTCTTAGCACCTCTTTATAGAGAGTTCAATGAAATCCTTCACACTTGGTCTGAAGGCAGCTTATCAGCTGTCCAGCAACGATATTGAATGGTCCTCCTTGACGACTCAAGTTCTGTGGAAGACAATTTCTCTCCAATGTGATATCTTTTTTTTTTTTTTAATCATTCGAGACACAGAGGTACAAAGAGAGAGAGAGAGAGAGCATGAACAGGGGGAGAAGCAGAGGGAGGGGGAGAAGCAGACTCCCCGCTGAGCAGGGAGCCCGACACGGGGCTCGATTCCAGGACCCTGGGATCATGACCTGAGCCAAAGGCAGACGCTTAACCATCTGAGCCACCCAGGGGCCCTCCAATGTGATATCTTGAAAGCATCACAGCACCTCTCTACAGAGTTCTTCTAAACCACTCAAGCTTTGAACAGGTTAAGATTTGATGTGTAAATGTCTCAATTTGCATTACTTTCTTGGGGGAGGTTTTAATTGTGTTCTAAAGGCTCTGCACCTGTTGCTTCTAACTATATTTGTCTCCAGTCCCAGAGCTTCCTAAGTATCTTTGTCATAACTTATGATAATCACCCCTGGGGTACTGGAAGCTTCCTGAGAGCCATCCTCTAGCAGCATCAACAGGTTCAGTTTCAACTTCAGCCAATGAGTGCTCTTGTACCAAATGTCCCTCCTCATCTATAGGTTCTTCTTGATCCAAAGATTCTCTGTCTTTGGAACAGATCATTGAAAGGTATGTCACCCATCTCTAGTCAGATTTTTTTGTCAGCTTGCATTACTGACAGGTCTGTTAAACTAGCTAATGCTTCTTTTATTAAGAAGACAACATTAGTGATAGTGTCAGAACCCCATGCATTAGGATCTTCAGACAGAGAAGCCTTTGAGATTCTGAACAACAAAGGTATGCATTAGTTTGGCACAAGTCCTCTTGAATGGCTGGATCATGCAATGATCTAAGGGCTCAAGGATCTGTTAAGGTTGTCTTTATAAGGACTGGGAAGAATCAGCAGGACTTTTTTTTTTTTTTTCATACTGAACTTCCAAGAGAAAGCAGTGTTCAAACCATTCCTTAAGGAGAGGAGTTATCCAGACTTTTCTGTTTGTGTGCCAATACACCCGAAACTTGGCTTGGCTTTTTGTTTCCCCTGAGAAGATTTGGGCATAGTTTTGTGTCAGGCAGCAACGGTTTCGCAATAAGGTCACCCCAGGTATTGGCACAAAACAGAAATGTCGGCCTCTCTGTTTTTGCTGAACTCATGTCGGCATTGGTTGGCTCTTTTTCTTCAAAAGGGCAAGTGGGATTATTCAAAGGTTTCCAAAGCATGGTGGTCTCAACAGCAGGGAAGATTCGGGCAGCCACATAATCTCCTGATTCAGTCGTTTCCTGCACTTGTGGCAGATACAACACAGGAGTGGCAGGGTCTTGTGGTTCTTTCTTCTGCACCACACTCACCGAAGACTTGGTCTCCGGGGCATGGCGCACCAGAAATTTCTCAAAGCATCCCTTGCTCTTGGCAGGGTTTTTTTTTCTGGGACCCACTTCGGTGTCTGAAAACACATCTTTGGCCATCCCTCGTGCACATTCGCAGACCCTTGTGTGGAAAGTGCTTTGTTGTTCTTTTGTTTGTCTTCATATGCAGGGGTTTAACACTTCCATCGTTTCCATCCGGGTCACCAGGGATAAAGCGCCTCTTAGGTGACAGAGGCATACCAAGAGGCAATCTTGGTCCTAGTAAGAGTGTTGGCTTTCCTTATGGTACGAATTGTGGGACTCATTCCCACCATGTAAGTGACCTGCAAAACTATCTGTTTTACCGCGAAGGAGCAGATGGTGAATGTCTCTTTTCTAAAGACACCCCCTTTCTTGCCTTTTTGGCAGCTTGCTATGGGCTTGCTTCACTCTCTTCTGCCTCAATAGTCACATTTATAGAAGCCATGTTTAAGTTTACGCTAATTAATGCAACCTGACCCCTGTTTACTAGAGATTCTCTAGCCCCTCAGTATCACAAATGGTTTTATGAACAACACATGGATAAATGTTAATATATTGTTGGGATGCTCAGTGCAAATGGGGCTGATGGTGGAGGAATGACAGAGAGAACAAAGGACTCAGAAGGGTCTTCCCACCTTGTGATAAAGCCAGAGAGACAATCACGTGACGACTTGGACTGATCCTGTTTACGCAATTCAGAATTTTCACCATTGTCAGAAAGGTATACCGAAGTAAATCCACCTATACTCAAATCTCCAATAAGGTCAACTTACAGTTAGAAAGGGATTACTGTAAATTCCCCTCTAAGTTATGGGAAAGAAAGTCACTATTCATATATTTAAGACAGTGCTGTTGCTATGACTTCCCTTGGTCGACCATCATGAAAGGCAAACACGGCCTAAGTGAATTTTCCGTAAACCCGCGGTTAAGTCAATCACACATTATGCGCTGACAAAACGCAACCTCTCGAGGTGTACACGGAAAGGTCAGGCAGGCCCCGCACAGCCAATGCTCCAGAAATGACTACCCAAGAAAGAAAGTGACAATGAAAGAAAGAAAACTAGCCCCTTTTCAATGCCCGGCCACTGATACTTTACTTTTATCCCCTCCTCCTGGGAAGATAGAGCGAAGCCTGGCTTTCTTATTCTTCTCTTCAGGGGCCATGGGAAGTGGTTTGGAACTGTGGTTGAGTGCCGAAGAATCTCGGTTGTTACTGTTCATTCTCAGCGGTGGGGCCGGGGGTTTCTCTTCATTATCCAGACTGTCAGACATTTTCAGGGACAACTGATTGCACAGCTCCTACAGAACAGGAGGAGAAAACAGGAATTGAGAAAGAAGCGGCCTTAAAAAAGAAACAACAAAACAATCCGGTAAAATGAGGATTCTGCCATCTTAGACACAAAAGCGTTGGTCTCACGTGGTCTCAGGTTTTGTGATGACCTTTTGTGGAGGTTTCTTTTCTAGAGGGGAGGGACCTGTATCCCTGAAGACCAACGACGCCATTTCCCAAAGAGGAAAAATGAAGGCAATAATTAATGGCTTTTCAATACATAGACACAAACACAGAAAGTCCCTTTCTGTTTTCTGCTGTCCACTCACAATCTTCTAATGAACAATTTACAACCTTCTTTAAAAATTCTACCCTGATTTTGGTGATGCTCGGGAAGCACAACCTCCTCAAAGTCTGGGGTTGACACGGGTTTGGCTGTTGATTTTTAATGGCCCCAAACAAGGATTTGTTAGCTGCTTTGACACTGGGAGGCCACCGGCGCCGGATTCTTACCTGTGTGTACCTGATGTACAAAACACACTCTACTGTTTTATGAGAAAGAACTGGAGCGTAATCCAGTAGGCCTGACAGCTGCAGCAAACTCCGGATGTAGCAATGGGGAAACAATGCCCCATTTTCAGGTAGTGGGTAGAATATAAAGCTGAGCCAGATGTCCCCACGAGCAAAGAGGAGCTAACTCCAAGGAGAGGACCAGTTCCTGAGGAGACATCATACCCTTCCTCCTTGTCATGTTTTATGTCCTGAACCGGGGAATGAGGGAGATGGCCTGGGTAACAGGGTTGAAAGAACCAGTCAGGGTTTTAGCAACTTACCTGCTCTTAAATTCATTACTCGTTAGTATCTTCTGCTTAGGGCCGAATACGTTCAGGTTTCATCCCACTGGAAGGTAAAATGACCTGGAAAAGCATGGACTCCCCGAGGAAATGTTCCTGCTTCCAACTGTTTTCCTATTCTAATTCAAGTCCCTCCACTAGGACCCCAATGGAGGCTTGCCATCTCAAGTCACGTCTTAAGAGTATCTTCCAAGTGAATCTCCAGTTTGAACACAAGGCAAATGAAATCCCAATGCAACAGAATCTATGTAAATTCATCAAGTATTAACTGGCGCTAATTTAGGAGCATAAGAGCTCTCCAAAAACGACTTAGCAGATCACTTTATTCCAACAACATTTACTGTAAACAAACTTAAGTACAGCAACAACCAGGGTCTTCTCGTTACCTGCTGTAATGAGAAAGAATCTGTCATAATTATTTTTATCTCTTTAGTGGTTACAATGTGTTTATTATTCGCAGTAATGAACTCTTACATCACGTGACGTGGAAGAGTTTCAAAATTTTACCGTGTCCCAAATTTTCTCCAACTTAAGTATTCAAGAATAGGTGAGTACCGATTCATAGTTTCTCCATCTGCACAGGTGACTGCCAACTAACAATGACCAGCTTGATCTTAATCTGGGCAAGAGATCTCTTTTGTTTTGGGGGCATGGGGATGAAAAGCAAGGCAATGATGTTCTTTGGAACAATATCCAATACTTCCCTTATGTACGGATGTATGATTATTGGCCCTGATTTCTCATCTAGTAAGATAACAGCAGTCAGAGAGTCTTGCCCTCCTGTGAACTGTTGCAGTCCCTCCTTTTCTTTAGCACTCTTCGTTTTGCAATACACATACCCTGACTTGTTTTGTAGTTGCATTTTTATCTGTATATTTAATAAACATTGATATATATATAATATATATAAATAATATATATATATATATTATATATATATATATAACGTGCAGCCAGAGATGATGAAACCCACTGCTCAAGCCTATAATCTCACTTCCAGTGCCTAGCATGGCACCTGACACAGGAGCTTAAATCAGTATTTGTTGTTCGAGTACGTATGAATGGAGACACAGATGGGTTACTTAAGAGACGTATTCTTAGAGTTACTATCGGACCCCTTAAAGGACAGTAGGTTTCTGTTTCAGTCTCAGAATTCTTTGAAGCAAGAGTCAACTAGAAATCAGTAAGAAGAACCCATGCAGTTGTCATGTCTTACATTATCTTAATGAATTTAAGACCCACTCTGTAGTTTTTTCAGTAATCATGCTAGGGGAAACACTCAGTAATAAAAGTTTGGTCACCAATGACAACTTGATTAACCTTGCATTTTCCTATTTAGGTGAAACCCAGCACAAGATAAAGTGAAAAACTGTGATTTTAAGGAGGGAGTATACTCAAAACATGTTTTGAGTAATCTATGAAGCCAGTGCTAATGCGTCTGCATTCCCTTTTGCATTTTAAATTTGGTCCTTCTAAATTCATTGTTTCTCCAGAAGAAAAGTGAGTTTAACACTGACTTCACCAGCAACATTATTCTGTAGTGGATGGGTTCCATGGTTTTCATTTAGTTACTGAGAAGAATTTGCCACAGAAAGCACTAATTTTTTTGTGTGTGTTTTTTGTTTGTTTTACTTTTGGGGGTTTAAAAATAATGCTTGAGTATGGAGTGATTATTACATAAAGCTCAGATACACAAAATATAGCTTGGTAAAAATAATAAATTTTGAAAGCCATTGCAAAAAAAAAAAAAAAAACCACCTGAGGATTTAAATAGAAATACCTAGAAGCTAGGTTTCTCACAGAGAGAGAAGGCGGGGAGAGAGCTGGATGATACATATTTTCTGATGACACATTACATAACTTAAGATGACGAAAGTCAGAGAAACAGGCATGGCCTCTTTAGTATGATATACGAAGCTGACCTTACGTAATAAGGCAAGCAAGAGTCTGGGGCGGTCAGGGTTCTAGTACACCTACGTAATTCAAAATACTAGGCTCCTTTGTTCTTGATAATTAGGTGTGGCTAACGGAGGGGTGTTTTTGTTCCTAATTACTCTCTCTCTGGCTAGAGACTCAACTGGTAGATGCCCTGCTTCTTTTCAAGCTGCCTGATTATTCTGACCTTATTTGACCAGGTATGTTTTAGGCTGGGGAAAAAAGGGGTACTTGGGATAGAAAACCCTAACTATACTCCCCTATGTTACACTCAAAATCCCTCACCAAAATTTCACCACCACATGCTTGCCGTGGTCCATAACACAGGCATTTGTGAAGGACCCAGTTTACATGGCACACCTTTCTACTGCCCAGCAAACTGGAATTGTTTTCACTCTAGTCAACTCATCCGGGGATTGTAAGAGGAGCCAGAATACACCTTTCACAGAGATGGAAAAGAAACTGAGGAATCCTTGTCTAGTTCCACACTGAAAATGTGTAGCATGAAGCAAATCATCGTTTAGTTTTACCTAGACATTTCAGATTTGGTTTTGCCTGAGTTGTCCTGATATTACTTCAGTTCTTTATTACTCTTTACCTGGCACAACCAACCTTCATCTCCTAATCATTCCAGAGAATTCTGATTTGGTGACAAAAGAATAGTGCAGGAGGCTCCTGTTATCTTTAACTCACCTTCAAAGCAAGCGCTTCAAAGCATGCTTTCAGAAGACCAATGGAAAAGGGGTATGGGCCGGTAAGGAAGCTCGGCTGTTAATATGTTTGTTTCCCAAATGGGAAGTGTCTCTGATTATTCCAGAAACGTAGAAGAACGGGGGGATTCTATTATGTTATGTTTGTAAACAATGCCAATTTACTAATCCAGGTCCCTCCCCTGAGACAGCTTTCTACAAAGGATACTATTAATGGATTGCTGGTTCAATCTGCCTATGATGTCATTATTTCCAAGATCTTGAAAGAGACTATTTTGTTCGGGGCGGCTGTAGGCTCTATTTCAAGAATTATACAAAAGCGCCATTATTCTCTAGGAACCCAATCAAAAAAACTGTTTATCTTTAAAGTTTAACTGTTGTCGTTCACTTCTGCAACAGAACAGAAACTGGCAAGTGAGTGGCACACTGGAGCTAGCCCCAGCCCATTCATTCCACTTTTAGAACATGGCCCTTCGCATTGTGGAGAAAAAGCTAACTTTAATGGATAACCAGCAACAGTTTATATCTGCTCACAACTTGATTTACTACTTGGCTACTAGGTTTTTCAGAGAGGATTCAAGTGGCTCCTGCAGATGGTGTATAGTATATTTTTGATCCAGCCCTTGGAACTTAATGTGGCTTACTGATGGTCTGTAATTATAATTGAAATTCATCAGCAACAAGAAATAAGCCTCTTGTTTCAAGATAACCAAGGAGCCTGGACACCCCTTTCTTCAGAGTACTAGGAACGATTACTTCTCTCTTCCCCTTCCTCCTTAGAATTTTTTCTCTTTACTCCACACTCCACCCAATATCACCCCCAAGCGTGAGGGCAGGCGTGTGCATACAGGCAGGCGCGTGCACACACACACACACACACACACACACACACACCCCACATAGCCTTTCACTGACTTGCGTTTTATTTATTATTTTTTTAAAGATTTTAGTTATTTGAGAGAAAGACACAGACAGCATGAGAGAGAGAGAGCAAGCAGGAGCAGTGGGAAGGACAAGAGGCAGAGGGAGAAGCAGACTCCCCACTGAGCAGGGGAGCCCGATGCGGGGCTCGATCCCAGGACCCCAGGATCATAACCTGAGCCAAAGGTGGACGCTTAATTGACTGAGCTACCCAGGCGCCCCTGACTTGCGTTTTAACACAAAGATTTGGTGCAAAGCATTTTAGAGGAAAACTTTAATCAAGCTCTATGGCTAAACTCTCATGCCTCAAAAATCAGTGCAGTGAGACACCAGACACTCAGTGAACCCTCAGTAGATTCAAAGAGAAAGCCACCAACTTGCATGTTGCAGGAGTCAAGAGGAAAGACAGATGATCAACTGTAGCTAGTGTGGCCAAAACTCATACTACGGCATCGGTGTTGAATTGGATACAATCAAAAATGCCCATCGTGCCCACTTGCCACGGGTGTTCTGCCCAGGTGTGTGAAGGGTGAGAATCCAGAAACACTGACCTTACAATTTGCAAGGCCTCCTATTAAGTCACAAGCAACTGAAAGAAATGTTGTCATC